ACACATAAATTATCTGGAACTCCTCGCAGTCTTTCTAACCCTGAGGCGCTTCCTGCCTTTCCTCTCTGGCCATCATGTCCTAGTGAGAACAGACAACACCACGACTGTGGCTTATATAAACCACCAGGGGGGGCTGCGCTCCATGCGGTTACACACGCTGGCACGCAGACTGATCCTATGGTGCAGCAGACATCTCCTCTCAACCAGAGCCACCCACGTCCCGGGTGTTCTGAATCGGAGGGTGGATCTGTTGTCCAGAGGGACTCCCCTGTATGGGGATTGGAGCCTGCATCCAGCAGTGTTGGAACAGATTTGGATCCGGTTCGGCACAGCCGTAGTGGATCTTTTTGCCTCCAAGGAGAATGCTCAGTGTCCACTGTTTTTCTCCCTGTGCGACCGAGACCCTCCACTCGGCGTGGACGCGCTGGCATTCGACTGGCCACGGGAACTGCTTTACGCTTTTCCCCCAGTGGCCCTGAAGAGCGCTATAGAGCACACTATCCCACCCTGCATCCACAGAGGCACGGCGGACACAAGGGGGCGCAATAAAATCACAATATAAACGCAAACAATGACTTTGTTGTGCTTTTATTACAGAAATATTATTACTATCATCACTCATCACTATTATTATTATGAAGAACATGTGATTTCTGTATTTTGTTCATATACTGGTTGATGCTAAAAATAAATTAAATTAAATTTAAAAAAAAGGAAATTAAATGCCGCCCCCTCCAGACTGCCGCCCTGTTCGGCCGCACATGTTGCACATATCAAGCTCCGCCCCTGCCTGTGAGTCACCAGCACTTGACTAAATGTGCCATTGTTCACATTCTCCTGCATATTCCTGAGCAAATGTAGTGGATGGAAACACAAACTTACATGTGCTGTTGGAGCATTTGAATCAGTTTGGCTTTAAATTGGATACAAAACAAAAACCATTCAAGTAACTAAGTTTACTCTATGTAATCTTGTTTTACTTGTATTGTTTTTTAAATGTTTATAACTTTAATTATTGTTTTATACTACATGCCAATCAGCAGGGGGACTGCCAATGGAAATGAGCCTTTTGGCTATAATTGGGTACATTTACATTGTAAATGTTTATTAATGTGCACACTGTCCCTCTACATCAAATAAAGGTTATTCAATTCAATTCAATTCAACTGCAGCAATATAAACACATCACATGTGTTCATGTGTTTAACTGATGTAAACAGAAGCAACAATACAGAGCTTAATGACTGTCTTATATTTCCATATGAACACACAGATAAAGGCTTGAGTCAATGTGTCTCACACACACACACACACACACACACACACACACACAAACACCTGCACAATGGCAATTAAATTGATTTTGACCAGGTCTGGCAGTTTGAACTGATCGTTACAACACTTTGTGGGATATATATTTCCTGGAAGGCATACTGCCCATATAAATGTCTCTGGGACCAAATATCAGATGTTTATAGTAGCAGTTGTCCCTGTCTCTATGGAGGGCTTCAGTTTGCTCTTACAAAGAAAGAAAGAAAGAAAGAAAGAAAGAAAGAAAGAAAGAAAACGATCTTTTGCACCTCTCAAGATAAAAATCACAAAGTGCTTTACAGGAACATAAATTTAAAAAAGGATTGAAAAACAACATAAAAATGAGAACAAATAAAAGTTGGGATTAAAAGATGTGAGGAAAGGGAAAGAAAAAACTATTAAGGACGAGGGAAATCATTAGAACCCGGGAAAGGCGGAATAAGAACAGGGAGCAGGATAAGGAGAGGATGGTGATGAAGGTCCCGCAAAAGCCAGCTTGAACAGTCGGACACCAATAAGTTTTATTTAAACTGTGATTCATAAATATTTGCGATGCCAATGTTTACATTTGATCTGGAATTATGGGATTGTGTGGCATGAAACAGCACATTTAGCAAACAATTAAACAGTTTAGCACATCTGGAGGAGGATTCAATTCAATTCAAGTTTATCTATAAAGCGCCAAATCACGACAAGAGTCGTCTCAAGGCACTTCACATAATAAACATTCCAATTCAGGTCAGTTCATTAAGCCAATCAGAAATAATGTTTCCTATATAAGGAACCCAGCAAATTGCATCAAGTCACTGACTGGTGTCAGTGACTATACAGCAACCCTCATGCTAAGCAAGCATGCAGCGACAGTGGAGAGGAAAACTCCCTTTTAACAGGAAGAAACCTCCAGAGAATCCTGGCTCAGTATAAGCAGCCATCCTCCACGACTCACTGGGGATGGAGAACACAGAGCACACACACACACACACACACACACACACACACACACACACACACACACACACACACACACACACACACACACACACACACACACACACACACACACACACACACACACACACACACACACACACAAAGTAATGTGTCTATAGTTATATTGTGATGTCTTAGTAAATATTCTATTAGGTGAGAGATAAACTTTATTGTATTTATCCTAGTGGATCTATAATTAAACAGGTAAACTAGTAGTAGCACGCCGAATGTCAAGGAAAGCAAAAAGTTATTATCAGGAGAGAGAGAATGTATTAGTGGTTAGCAGCAGTGTGCTAGTCGATGGCCCCCTCCATGAGGCCACCACAGCTCAGCAGAACATCGTTGTAGCTTCTTCTGGGGAGAAAAACACTTAGAGAGAAAATAAAGTTAACAGCTGAAATAGCAGGAAATAATACAGTTAAAGAGCAGATTGTAGTAGAAAGCAGTAGAGTGTGGAAAGTGGTCAGTGTATCCTCCAGCAGTCTAAGCCTATAGCAGCATAACTACAGAGATAACTCTGGATAACCTAGCCTTTTTAGATGTAGGCATGTTGGAGGCAGGGCAAGGGAGAGCCGTCTTTACCGACTGTACACTCCACCTCCCTCTACTCCCCCACTTGTCCAGATTTAGGCTAACATCAGATTTTAACCATAAGCCCTATCAAATAAAAATGTTTTAAGCCTATTCTTAAAAGTAGACAAAGTGTCTGCCTCACGGACTAAAGCTGGGAGCTGGTTCCACAGGAGAGGAGCCTGATAACTAAATGATCTGCCTCCCATCCTAAGTTTAGATATTCTGGGAACCAACAGTAGACCTGCAGTCTGAGAGCGAAGTGCTCGGTTAGGAACATATGGATTTCCTTTTTCCACCTTCGGAATATTGCTAAGATTAGAAGCATACTTTCCAGGAGTGATGCTGAAAAACTAGTTCATGCATTTATTACATCAAGACTGGATTACTGTAATCCATTACTCTCAGGAAGTCCACAGAATGTAGTTAAAAGTCTTCAGCTTGTCCAAAATGCTGCAGCTAGAGTTCTGATGAGAATTAAAAAGAGAGATCATATCTCTCCTGTCTTAGCTTCCCTACATTGGCTACCTGTTAAATTCAGAATAGATTTTAAGATCCTTCTTCTCACATATAAAGCTCTTAATAATCAAGCTCCATCATACATTGTTCTTGGAGATTAATGTAATGCCGTTAAGGTCAGGTGATTGGCTAAGCAATTTCCTTTTCTGGATTTCTGGTCCAAAGATGAGAACTTCCGTCTTGTCTTGATTTAAAAGCAAGAAGTTAAGAGTCATCCAATTTTTTCTGTCGTCAAGACAAGCCTGTAATCTACCCAACCGATTAGGTTCATCAGGGTTAATTGATAAATATAGCTGAGTATCGTCAGCATAACAGTGGAAGTTTATCCCATGCTGTGTAATGATTTTACCAATTGGGAGCATATATATAGTAAAAAGATTTGGTCCAAGCACTGAACCCTGTGGTACGCCACAAGTAACCCTGGAGTATGGAGAAGATTTGTCATGTACATTTACAAAATGAAATCTGTCAGACAGGTAGGATTTAAACCAGCCTAACGCTGTTCCTTTGATCCCTACAACATGTTCAAGTCTTTCTAAAAGAACATTGTGATCAACTGTGTCAAAGGCAGCACCGAGATCTAACAAGACTAGAACAGACACAAGATTCTTATCTGAGGCCATGAGAATATCATTTGTAACTCTCACTAATGCAGTTTCAGTGCTGTGATACTCTCTAAAACCAGACTGAAATTCCTCAAACAGAGCATTAGTGTTTAAATGCTCACATACTTGGATGGCCACTATTTTCTCAAGGACTTTGGATAAAAATGGAAGGTTAGACATTGGTCTATAATTCATTGGGTCATCTGGATCCAGAGAAGGCTTCTTAAGTGAAGGTTTGATTACAGCAACCATAAAATCCTGTGGTACATACCCATTTACTAAGGATAGATTGATGGTATCTAGAATGGGGGCAGTAACCAAAGGAAATGCTTCTTTAAATAATTTGGTTGGGATTGGATCCAAAATGCAAGTTGAAGGTTTAGATGAAGCTAATATTTTTGATAACTCTGAAAGCTCAACTGGATCAAAACGGTTCAAGCACAGATGAGGTTCTACAGTCACCTCTTGTGCTGCCTCACTTACTGAGGAAGAAGCAATCGCATTAGGGAGGATGCTAAAGATTTTGTTTCTAATAGAATTAATTTTACTTGTGAAAAAATGTAGTTTGTCGAAGCTTATTTTTTTTAGAAAGCACAAGACTATTTTTCCAGGATAGATAGGCCTCCTCATGGTGCGTAGAGCGCCATGTTCTCTCCAATTTCCTAGAGTTTTGTTTTAAGGCTCGTAGATGAGAGTTAAACCAGGGAGCCAACTTCCTGTCCCTAATTACCTTCTTTTTAAAGGGGCAACATCATCTAATGCCACACGTAAAGAGGAATTAACATGATGAACTAAGGCATCAATTTGTGAGGGGCTAGAACTGAAAATATTGCCCTCTGCTACATGCCTCTGAGATGCTGAGGACAGTAAAGATGGAACAGTTGTTTGGACACATCAGCTACTGAACAGGAGGGGGAAATAAAAATAATCGGTAATGATGATGTCAAGAAATAATTTAATCTGTCACCACTTTCATGCCATTAGCAGCATTTCTCTTATGTTTGCTAGCTGTGATTTTCTGCTGAAAGTGGTTCAGTTCAGGGGTGTTTTAGTGGTTCCTCCTCATCGTTCCTGCTTGGAACCACCTAACCCTGTTAGACGGAAGAGGCGCTGCAGATGGAGACAGGTGTGGAGTTCTGGGTGGTCCTGCTGAACCGCGGCATCAGGGCAAAGGAAAAACGCTCCGACCCCAGCAGGACACCGGGAGGGAACGGGAAGCACGGAGAGCTCGGACTAACGTCAGCCGGAGGCTCAGCCTCCAGGAGCGCAACGTCAGAACCGGAGCGCAGAGCCGCGGATCGCCTCGCCTTGCAGGGTAAACAAACTTCACTGCTCTTGATCTTCTTCCTTCTGGTGCTTCGTTTGAAGGAGTGGTCCTATCGGGTCTGATTGGAGGTCTGGGACTGTAAGTATTTCATTTTTGAAGATGAATAATATTGGAGCTGTACTCTCCTTATTCCAGGTGCACGGTTTCATTCAAATCAGGGAATTCTGCATGATTATCCGAGCATGTTTCTATTATGGAAATGTTGCATTAAATTAACCTTTAAAACAGATTTGGAGCTCAGATCTGCTTTAAAACCACTTTTTGTGCTGATCACGTGACATTTGTATTCGTTCGTTTGTTTGTTTCACCGTGTGGCTGAACATCTATTCAGCGCAACTCATTTCTTCCCGCGTCCAGGCTCTATGGTGCAGCTGTCGTGCGTAAAACACCGGCAGAGCGCTCAGCGAACGCGGAATGGGCAGACCAGAGCCCGACCAGAACCAGGGTGGTGATGTCCGGGGGGAAGCGGAGTAGGAAAGCAGAAGAATTCCCCCTCAGCATTCCTGATCAATCCCAACAACCCCCTAAAGGGACCGTTTCCCTGCAGGAGCGGATCTGATCCATAAAGGTTGGTTTTCAGCAGCAGCGCGTGTCTGTGGAGCTCAGCGCAGGTAAGAGGACTCTCCTCCAATGGAGGGATGCTCTCTGAGCTTCTCCTCTCACTCCCTCACTCAGTAGTGAGTCATGGAGGTTAATTCTTAATTAGTGACATTTTCTCTGCAGCTCGTTGTTGCCTGAAGGATTAATGAGAGATGAAGGAAGAATTTTGACTTCTCAGCGTCTTTAAAAGATTTGCTGTTTATATATTTAGCGGATCTATTATGGAAATGTTGCCTTAACATCTGTCTACCCCCCCTCCCTGTCCTCTTGCACCCCCACCCCACCCCCCTTTTCTCCTTGCCCCCCCTCTCTCCTAGCATGGATAACGCTTCGGTCCCTGGGGGTGCACTGCCGGTCTGTAACGACTCCGTGGACCGGTACTCTCCCACGCCAGCGAACAGCAGTGATCCGAGCTGCACTCCTCCTTCAGACTTCTACTTCTACGCTGACCTTTATGTCATTTTACCCGTCATCTACTCTGTGATCTGTGCCGTGGGACTGACTGGCAACACCGCCGTCATCTACGTCATCCTCAAAGCTCCCAAAATGAAAACCGTCACCAACATGTTTATCCTGAACTTGGCCATCGCAGATGACTTGTTCACCCTTGTCCTGCCCATCAGCATAGCTGATCACCTGCTTAACTACTGGCCTTTTGGTGACATCCTGTGTAAAATCATCCTCAGCATAGACCACTACAACATCTTCTCCAGCATCTACTTCCTGACAGTTATGAGCATCGATCGCTACCTGGTTGTCTGGGCAACCGTGAGGTCCAAACGCATGCCGTACCGCACCTACAGAGCAGCAAAAATCGTCTCTTTCTGTGTCTGGGTCCTGGCCATCATCATCGTCATGCCCTTCACCGTATTTGCTGGAGTCTATGTCAGCCCGGATGATGGGAGGAAAAGCTGCGTTCTGAGCTTCCCCAGCCCTGAGAGTTTATGGTTCAAAACCAGTCGCATCTACACACTCGTCCTGGGCTTTGCGATACCGGTGTCAACCATCTGCATCCTGTACACCATGATGCTGTACAAGCTGAGGAACATGAGGCTAAACAGCAACGCCAAGGCCCTGGACAAGGCCAAGAAGAAGGTCACCATCATGGTGTTCATCGTCTTGGCTGTGTGCCTGTTCTGCTGGACGCCATTCCACCTCAGCACCATCGTGGCTTTGACCACAGATCTGAGGACCACGCCGCTGGTGATCGGGATCTCCTACTTCATCACCAGCCTGAGCTATGCCAACTCCTGCCTCAACCCATTCCTCTATGCCTTCCTCGATGACAGCTTCAGGAAGGCCTTCATAAAGATGTTGGAGTGCATACCAGCTTAAACTCATTCACACTTCTGTCTGCACATCCTCCAGGCTGTAGAGGTCAGGTCAGGTCAGGTCAGGTGAGGACTAACTTTGGGCGGCCTCATCTGTGATAAAAGATCCAACAGTAGACCAGAAGAGTGAAATCGGCCCTGTTGTTGTTAAAGAGCTCAGTCCGAGGCGGTTTTGCTATCCAGATGGGCACATTTGTAAAAATGATTCTGTCCGTGGATATGCGGCCGAACAGCCTTAGTTTGGAGAGATGGGGTTTAAATCATCCAGGACTGATGAGCTAAAGGGTAGTCTGAGCTACCTAAAACGGTCCCAATCTTCCCAGTATGACAGTCATCCGTGTGATGTTATTTTATAAATCTGTGTTTTACACGTTTAGCTACACCACGCTTTGTTTAAATGTGTAAACGTGACCGGCGGCTGCACAGCGCCGCAGCCGACAGAATACTCTCAGTCATCTTTATGAAATGGCCGTTTGGACAGAAACATCTTAAAGCCGGTCGGGTTCTGGTCCGTCTGGAAACTCTGAGTTGCATCACAGTGGCAGGGTTACAGTTTGATGCTTACTCGTGTGTATTCACACAGTTCCATGTAAATCAGTCTAATGAGAGCGGGCAGATGGTGTCTTCATTAAAAAGCTGTTTGGTGTTCTAGAAGAGGGTGGAGCTGTTTAAAGATGGCGGCGCTCTGACGAGTTCATCAGTCCTGAAATACGTGAAAAGGTTTTTCTCTGAGAAAAGAAGCCTGATTAACTGCAGTGGTTCCAGTTTCATCCGGTTCTAACGCTAACGCCGGGGACACACCGGCCGCCGAAGCGCCGCGAAATTGGGGCCGCCTTCATTCGGCACCCTTGTTATCCTGTTCTATAGACCGCATGGGTCGCCGAAGCGCTGCGCGCCGGCGCTCCAGCCCGCACCGCGCAGCGATCGTTTCGGCGTCTGCTCTATTTTTTTCACGAGCCGCGGGTGAACCGCGTCAATTCTGGCAGGAAGTCAAACCTCGACATAAGAGGCAGGCCGGTAAATTTAACAAAATAAAGCATTTCAAAATAAAATTCCGCCATAGTCAGATGTGTTCGTAAACAGATACTGCATAAAAACCACACACACACACACAGCAAACGTGTGTGTGTGTGACCACGTGAAGGGGGCGTGGTTTTGGGTGTCTTTCAACCGGAGCAAACATGACAGAGAGGCAGAAAGTCGTAGGCCAGCTATTAACAGCTGGTTCTCACACGCACACACACGCACACACACGTACACACACACACACACACGCACACGTACACAGACACACACACACACACACGCACACACACGCACACACACGCACACACACACGCACACACACACACACGCACACACACGCGGACAAACACACACACACACACACACACGCACACACACGCACACACACACACACACACACACACACACAGCAAGGGGGAGGGGGTGTAGAGGAAGAGAGCAGAGAGAGGAAATGGAGGACACCAGGTGGTTAAAAGAAAAACTACGAGGCGCGCCTCGACCGGAGCGGAGACACAAGCGTCTGGTCTGAACTGAGGAGCAGCGAGCAGCGGCCGGATTTTGTGAGCGCTTCGCCTCACGGCGCTCCGGCGGCGGTGTGTCCCCGGCGGTACCCAGAAACAGCAGCGTGGACTCAGTCCGACCAGAGGACACGACACTTTGGGCGACTTTAGTTGCTCTGAAGCCCAAAAGTGCTGTGAGCTGTTAAAACCAGACAGCAGTTTACAGCTCTGGCATGGTGGACGGCAACACCTACAGCTGTTTGAGACTTGTCCACAGTCATCTCTGCAATCCAGATCCGTTTCCAGGTGAAGACGGCTGCAGGCAGGTGTTCTCTTTGAACAGGAAAGCAAAAGTTCTGCAGAGATGTGCCGGCACAAACACGTGTCACCTTCACGGGACTCCCTCTACCACCAGAGAACCACACAGCCACCTTGGTGGAGGTCGGCCTACGAATGGAGAACCAGCTGTTGTCCATCCAATCGATATCCTGACAACCACCAGCGTGGAAACCAGGGACGCTCTCAGCATCCTTGGTGATTGGTTGATGAGAAATCAGAGATGGTTCATGCAAAATATGAATTTGCGATTCAAGTTGACAGACTGGATGACACTGATCAAAGGCTGCTGTTGAAACTCAGACAGACCGAACTCGCTGAAGGCTAAATGGGACCGGTGCCGTTCTCCTCTCGTATAAACTGGTTCTACCCCTCAGAAACGCACCTTATGGAACTTCACAGTTGTACCGTAGGACCGGTGTGAGCTGGCAGGAGGAGGGCCACCGAACATTGGGTCTGTGTTGTTGGTGTCTGCTGCCCCCTGCAGGCCAGAGGCTGGTAGAGCTGGAGGTGTGGAGCGCGTGCTCTCAGCATCCTTTTACCTGAGTGCTTTAGAGACTTGAAACAGGAAAATACATGTAAGGATTCCACTTTAGGACTTATGTAGATTTTAACAAATAAACACGTTTTATAAATGAGATCATTTGTCAAAGTAGGAACATTCTGTTTAACGTCGTTAAAGCTGCATGATGCTGTAAATGTGATGAACAGGAACACAGCTGAGATTGTTGTGCAAAATGTAAACAAAAGCACCGTTTAAGTGGTCTAGCATCTGATTTAAACGCGTTTGCTGGTGAACGACATCTGTTTTGGTGTTAGGATCAACCAGATACTCACCAGAACTTTTCCATGTCTTAAGCATTTAAAGCAGCGTTCACACGCAGCCATAAGTCACACAGTCAGCTGTTTCACATTATTAAATATTCAATAATTATGTTGCAAAGATTTCCATCCACCTCTAAAATGAACATCTTCCTGCTGGCTCTGCTGGCTCTGAGCACTAACTATAACATCCTGCATATAAAGTTTGTCATTCACCTGTACAGAAGAGGCGGTGGTGTGTGTGTGTGTGTGTGTGTGTGTGTGTGTGTGTGTGTGTGTGAGAGTGTGTGAGAGTGTGTGTGTGTGTGTGTGTGTGTGTGTGTGTGTGTGTGTGTGTGTGTGTGTGTGTGTGTGTGTGTGTGTGTGTGTGTGTGTGTGTGTGTGTGTGTGTGTGTGTGTGTGTGTGTGTGTGTGTGTGTGTGTGTGTGTGTGTGTGTGTGTGTGTGTGTGTGTGTGTGTGTGTGTGTGTGTGTGTGTGTGTGTGTGTGTGTGTGTGAGTGAGTGAGTGAGTGAGTGAGTGAGTGAGTGAGTGAGTGAGTGAGTGTGTGTGTGTGTGTGTGTGTGTGTGTGTGTGTGTTGTGTGTGTGTGTGTGTGTGTGTGTGTGTGTGTGTGTGTGTGTGTGTGTGTGTGTGTGTGAGAAACACAAAGCTTCCAGATAAACGAGGAAAAGTCTGAGTTCAGCTTCTATGAACAGGACTTGTTCTGTGATGGGTTCGATCTAGAACTGAAAAACGTTCTTCCATTACTCATTTTTGATATTTTAGAATCAGAGTTGCTAGCTAAGTACAGTGGATGGTGCAGACTAGATTTTTACAGTGCTGATGTGCATTAAAATGAAGAAGGTGATGAGAGCCGCTTATTGTGATGAAGACAAAAGGCTTGGGGTGCTGCCAGTGTGACCACAGGGGTTAAAGGTCACACCATCCATTGCAGTGACAGCTTGCTGTGATGACGACCTGCAGCATGTTCTCCACATTGATGAAGTTCCTGGACAACACAGCATGGATGTCATCAGCAGGGGCATCAGACTGGGGCACTGTTAACCCAGGGCACATTGCAGGGAGGGGCCCTGAGACAGCCTTGATTAGAAAGGTTTTATTGTCCCCTAGAAAAACTAGAAAAACGCAGTTGAGCGACTCAGAAGTGAAGCGGCGTCAACAATAAAGAGCTGCGGTGTTTCTGTGATCTCCAGAGATCCACCGTTGACCAGCATGGCTACAGCCTTGCTTTGGCGCCGGCCCGCTGCCCCAGAAAACGGGAACGGTCAGTCGTCTGCTATTCTCAGGCAGGAGACGGGCAGCTGGGCACCAATTATAAATGTACTTACCGATTAAAAGACACAGAAACTGCTTGGATGGTCCGTCAGTAACCACAGCTTGCCCTTTTAGCCACAGCTTGCTATAGAAATGATGCTTTCTCCTTCCTCTTCTTCTTTTGTCCAGTTAACTCCACGATCAACATCAAAACACAAACACAGAAAAAACGGAAGTTCAGAGAGTCAAAATGGCTGAACATCTATTACCTGAGGCCGAGGCACTGACCGAGGCCTTTCCCCGGAGCTAGCGCTGAAGTCACGTGGACGCTCATTAGTTATTGAGAATTGTAAGCATTAAATTCTACTTGAACAGAAGGGTTACAAGAAGCTTCAGCCCCTCAGAGATGTCATTAAACTAGATCTATACACCTAGAACGTGTTCTGGTACCAGGCTGTAAACATGTTTGTTTCTGCTGTGAAGTTGCCATTTTTAACATGGGAGTCAATGAGGATTTGCTCACTTCTGCTGCCAGCCCCTAGTGGATGAGGGTGGAACTGCAATTTTTACAACTTCCGTGTTGGCCTCATATTTATTACAAAGTTATGGGGGCTTGGTTTTACCACAGATTCTGGGTCAGCAACTTCTGTTTTTACGTTTAAAATATCTCACCAACTCTAAGGAATCGTTCATAAAGGGAGCTGCCATGTCAGCTATCAGAATTAGCTCCGCCCACTGACTTTAATGGGTGAGGTAACCCAACAGAAAACAACAATAATGGCTCAAGTCGTGTGTTTCATCAAAAGGGCCAAAGATGATCTTTCTGCGATAACAAAGGATGTGTCAGCCAGACACCAAGAGGTGCTGATTATGAATATCTCTTAACTTGACCATTATCCATATCACAAGACACAAGCCTCTTTATCTAAATCCCTTTAATAAAGTTATCATTTCTGGCTCATAAAATAATTTTCTAACTTTACAAGTTATTGACAATCATGTTCTGCAGTGCTTAAATAAGTTTTAAATCTAAAGTGTTTTCATCCTATAGCGAGCGGTCCAGTTCGGCCAGCTGAGTCAGTAAAGCATACGGAACCATCCTCCAAGGTCAAGTCCTCTTTGCGAAACTGCATCAGATGCAAAACTTAATCTGACCGCCAGCATTCTCGCTGGGGGTATGCTGGACCAGCAGTGCTGTATTCTAGGTGGACCTACGAGCTTCAAACTCCACAGAAGTCAGTTCTGTCAGCAGCCTGTCCGTACCAAGCCCCCACAATGCTGCTCAAAAATTGAGTCAAACCCGGAAGTACCAAAAATTGCAGTTCCACCCTCATCCACTAGGGGCTGGTGTCAGAAGCGAGCAAATCCTCATTGACTCCCATGTTAAAAATACCAATTTCACAGCAGAAATAAACATGTTTACAGCCTGGTACCAGAACATGTTTTTGGTTTAAATGATCTAGTTTACACTCATGACAACTCTGAAGGGGGTGAATGTTTTCTCACTCTTCTGTTTAAGTGTATTAAAAGCCTAAAATTCTGTATAATTAATGAGCATCAGACCCACGTGACCACAGAGCTAGCTCCGGGGAAAGGCCTCAGTAGAGCCTCGGTCTGGCCTGGAAACTGCTCCGGGATTTTGAGTCTCTGTGTGTGTGTATTCTTGTTTGGATATTATTTGTGCAATTGTTGGACAAAATGACTTGCTGTGGCATTAATTGCACTAATAGAGCGTCCAAGGAGTCTCCACTTCATTTTTTTCGGTAAGTAAAATTATATTTATGTATTTTAGGTCACTGCCGAGCTGAGCTTAGATTTTAACATGTACTGTTTAACCATGAAATGTAAATGTAATAGGGTAAAACCCAGTGCATTTAACATAATGCTGCATTTTAGAAAATGGGTTGAAATATAACATGTTGGTGGAGCTGGGTTCCCACTATCGGCTTGTGGAGCTCTCGGGAGACCGATGTTTTCCACCTGGTTCTCCCCTCCCCCACCCGGTTTTACCCAGCGGTCAGCCCGGCGTATCTCTGACTCAGAAGCTCTGGTGTTGTGCACAGTTCACTCCGGTTGTAGCTAGGTTGCTACCTCCGTTAGCTTAGCTCCCACCTCTGCGTTAGCTTTGGGGTAGCTTCAGGTTAGCTTGTAGCTACATTAGCTTCAATTCGACGGGTGTCGTCATTTGATCCCAGCCTTACAGCCCCACCCTCAGCTCCACCTCTCGTCCCTTTTGTGGAATTGTCTGGGCTTGACGGAACCTGTGACACGGTCAAAATGGCGGTGGTGGCCACCTCCTATTTTAGCTCAAAAACATGTTATTGGAGACTATGGAAATTAATTGTCCAGTATATATGTCGATGGTCCGTACCGACTTCTCCAGCCCTGGATCGCTGGATGCCTGATAACTGATAGTTTGTTAAACCATTGAATGTTCAGCCAGACTTATTTTACAACCCAGACATCACAATTTTCCCAAGATATTTAATAAGGTTTGCTACACAACACATAAGCTTACATTCATTCATTGTTTCAGTAATCTTGTTTCAACAATCCTTCTTCATAATTTGTTCTGTGTCATCATTAGTAGTAGAAATATAGTTTTACATTGATGTTTTAAACTACAGTTTTGTCGTTGTCTCAAATTATTAAAAAGACGTGATTTCCCTGGACCACCAGAATTACCTGGTTTAATCTGAAATCTAATTTAATAAAATCTATAATATTGATAATTCATATTTATGTGGAATATCACATCTTATCAGTCATTTATTAAAAGTAACCACTTGCATCATGATTATCATCTTATTAATCATTTCTTTATTGTTTTTTCATAAATCCCAAACTTTGCGTGGAAAGTTGCTTTCGCAGCTTTCCGACCCGTTTTGGGCATTAGCAAGCTTTATAAATGAGACCCCTGCGCAACAAACAGCTACGCCCTGCCAGTAATCAGATACCCTGCAGGAATAATAAGCTGGCCAAAAGAAGAAATACAGACCACAGATGTTCAGACATGGAAGCTCCTAACCATGCATGCACAGTTCAATCCCGAGTTCAGCACCCTTATACTGTAGCCATAAGGAAGGAGGCCGAGGACTAGTGAGTGTGAGAGCCACCATCCAGGATGAAACATCAAGATGCATGAGTACATCAAGGACAAGGCCCCAACAGATGACGTGCTCAGTGAATGTCTCAGACAATGGCGAACAGAGGAGGAGACGCTGGAAATACCATCATGGGAGGGCAAACGCCTACAAGGGATGTACCACAGACAGATAACTGAAGTGACTGATGAAATCCTACCAATAGCTAGGAAGAGCTAGTCTGAAGGACAGCACAGAGACACTCATCATGGCTGCACAGGAACAAGCCCTGAACACCACAGCAAAAGAGGCCAAGATCTACCACAGCAGACAAGACCCAAGGTGTAGGCTATGCAAAGAGACCCCTGAGACAATCCACCGCATAACGCGGGGTGTAAGATGCTGGCAGGGAGAGCTCCCATGGAAAGCCACAACCTGGCATTGTGTACAGGAACAGAATCAGCAGATCCAATAGATGA